TCTGACTCAAGATGCCTTGAAAGGAGATGCCTTGGTCTGAACTCTACATATTCCAAATGAACAGGTGAAAATTAAATGTTGTAATTGTTATAGTCAATATTCCTAAGTTCAGATACAGAACTGATACATGTATACAAAGAGGATAATCATATTCAGTAAAACATAACCTTTCCAATGATATCTTACATGACCCATCTTGCATAAAACATCTTAGTTATGCCATATTCATATAACAATATTTCTATGAAGAATATGGGCGTAGCATCACAACGGGATCCCTGGGGTGCAGCCTAGGATGGTGGGACCGCTGTGCCCCCTTAACTCTCCAGCCTGGGCTGTCTCTCACAATGCTTTGCTAGTGACAAGCAGCAAACCCCTCCAGACGCTGTTATCACTCAGCACAACTGCATGTGGAGCCCCACACCCAGCTAGATTGCATAAGCCACTCATGAATCACACAGAGAAAGGCACCAGCCGAATCCCCCGCCCAGCTCCCAGCCTGGCACCTCAGGAATATGCCATCTTGCACTGCTAAAGATGAGCAATGCAAGTTTATTAATTGGTTCACCACTTCATCATTGGAAAGTGGATCTACACCAGTCGTCGTAAACCAGAGCAGATTTACCAAACACCTCAGGCAAACTCACTGGTAAAGATAAACAGTAAAACAAGTTTATTGACTACAAAAGATAGATTTTAATTATAAGCGACAAGCAAAAGTCAGAGTGGTTACCAAAATAAAATAAAATGTAAGCACGCAATCTAAACTGTCAGCCCTATTAGACTGGGCAGCCTCTAAGCGGTTAAGCAGTTTTTCTCACCCCACTGGATATTGCAGTTCATAATACACAGGTTTCACCCTTGAAACCTGAGCCAGTCTCCTCTGTTAGAGTCTGCAGTCTTCTGAGCGTCCTTGTTGCTTGCAGCATAGGTGGGGGCCAGAGAAAAGGCCAAGCATGGGGCCCCTGTGTTCTGTTTTATACTCTTAGTCCCAGGTGCTTGGAGAACACAAATCCAGGCATGTCTAGTGGGCATTGCTGAGTCATGAGGTGAAGCAATACCCCTGTGTGTCTCCTGTGAGGGAGTCACTGAATTATAACTCTTCTGCTGGACAATGGCTGGTGATGTCTGTTCAGCCCCCACCTGGGCGTTGGTTACCTCTTCCCTTGCCATTGTCTCTGTAGGGCTAGTATCTGGGCACGTCCCAAACCCACAGCATATTTTAGTGAAAACCATACAACACAATTCTTATAATTTTATATGCATTAATGATACACCTATTTAGATGGAACAATGGCTTTTCAGCAGATCATAACCTTTCTCATGATACCTCGCATGGCATGCTTTATATGCAATATCACAACTACACCTCTACCCCAATATAACGAGACCCGATATAACATGAATTCGGATATAACGCAGTAAAGCAGCGCTCGGGGGGGAGGGCAGGGCTGCGCACTCCGGTGGATCAAAGCAAGTTTGATATAACGCGGTTTCACCTATAACGCGGTAAGATTTTTTGGCTCCCGAGGACAGCGTTGTATCAGGGTAGAGGTGTATATGTAAATGAGGAATATGGGGGTTACAGAGCACTCCCCCAAGGTATAGAATGTTACACCCTCATTCAAATACTACCTGAAAATTCACTACTTCTTGTGAATTCTTAATAACAATTGTAAATATGTATTAGCTAGAGAGAATATATATTATCCCCTCTTCTGGATTTCCCAGAGTCTTTTGTCTTCTAGAAGCCTTTTTGATGATAAGTGCTCTTGAGCAGGGACTGTCATCATCATTCTGTCTTGAGTGGTGCCAATCCTGCTGTCAGCACTAAATAAACAACTTGGCATTTACAGTACAGAGCACCTTTCATCCAAAGGTCTCAAAGCACATTACAAACAGTTGCTGAGCCTAATTAATTCTAAGGGCGGGAAGTAAGGTAGTCCCCATTTTACAGTTGAGTAAATTGAATCACAAAGGGTGTCGTACTCCTTGTGTACATGGTAGGTTGCAGGGGCACTACTAGCAGATAAGGCTTGTGTGCCATATTTGAACTATCTACAGAGCTTCCATCATGGAGAAAAGATATGATACTTTAATGCACTGCCAGGTATGGCTGTTACCAGCTCAGATAAGCCACACTGCGCCACCTAGTGACTGAACATTATAATATGGTTTTAGCATTCTCTCATGCAGAGGGTGGAGAAGGGGCGTTAAAACTTGCCTAAGTTCATACAAGTTAGTGGCAGAGCTTGTTATGGACCCCGTATCTCCTGATTTCCTACGAGAATGCAGAGAAATTAAAATAACTATACTATTTTTAGCTGATGGAATTTTGGAGAGTAGGATGAAATCCAAGTATAAAGCAAAACTCTACACCAAAAGCAATTAGTGTAACTGTTGGTACCATGTTTTAATAGTGGAACTTTTAAAATAAGTCAAGGGGCTAGATCCTCAGATGGCTTAAACCAGGCGAAGATCTGTTCCAAGGTCTAAAATGGCTTAAAGATAGATATGTCTTTTGAAATTGACTGGAATCCAAAGGTGTAATGTTGTTTTTTGTTAATGGTTAAGGTGATTAATATGAAATAATTCCTCTTTCTGATAGAAAACCCTGTTCCCCTATTGTCTATAAAGGTCTTTTCAGCCAGGGAGTAAATGACTGTCTGACTTCAGGGGAGACAGTGCTGCTGACTGTGCTTTCAAATGCACAAAGTAAACACACTCAAAAGTACAGAAAAAAGTTTTTCTTCTCTAATTTATTTCAGTTACAGTAACTGCCATAGGTACATGTGTTTTGCCAGTTGCAACTATTACCATTTAAGGTAATGTTCACTGAAGTCACACGGATTGGTTCAGCTTCAGAATAGTTTAATTAAAAAAAAAATTAGCTTAGCCCAGCTTTTTAAAATTCAGCATGAGAGAACCTTACTTGTACTCTACAGGTATTTAGTGCAATGACACATTTATTTTCACATGTTGAAGATTTTTGTTATATAAGTAAATACCATCCAATGCAACTCACAATTATTTTATACAATGTTCTATTAATTAACATGTGCCATTGAGCTGAAACGGAATACTCCAGTGTATCGTGCTAGAACTTGTCGCTCCGCATTGGCAGTGTTAACAGTATTACAAGGCCATTACACTGTTATGGAAGGTTCAAATCTAGGACAATATTCTGGCATTTTCCCAGATCCTCGGAGTCCTGAAGCCCCACTAATCCCTCTTGCTTGATTCATTGCCTTTTTACTATTTCCCTTATGAAATCATAGAACTAAGCTAAGAGTACTGAGTGATTCACAATTAATTCCTCTGGCATGGGGGACTCCCTAGCTGGCATAGGGACGCTTGGGGGGCGTGGCCAGAGAAGCAGCATATTGGCCCGTAAGGGGCTGCTACAAGCCAAAGGGACTTAGATTTGATGCTGCCCCAGGGATCAATTGGAGTGAGGGGCAGGGAGAAAACAAAAATAGCTTAAAGTAAACTTTGCCACTTCTTTCATCCCTGCCCGTGCGAAGCAGATCTCTGATGCAGCTGAGGGTCTGGCCCTTTCCGATTAACTACTTTGGTCAAGTATTTGGACACCAGTTGAAAAATACAGAGCCCTAAAAATGTCACCACCCCCTGCATAAAGATGCTGCACAACTTCAAAGCAAACCCTTTTATTTGACCAGGGCCTACAAAGACAATCCCTTAGTTGTACTCTCTAGTGACAGAGATTTTAGTCCCTAAGAGTGAACTGGAAAAAGTAGACTGCCATTGCAAAATGCAGTGTCTATGCCATTCAGGCAGTCTAAGAACATGCTGTAATTGGAAGCAAAATTATCTGTTAAAAAAATTGTGCAGCTAAACAATATTGACTGATAATGAACAAAATTTTCGAAGTCAAGTGCCTGAAGTTAGGTTTCTTTATTCAAATTTCTACATCTAAATAAGTGGCCTGATTTGTAGAAGTGCCGAGAGCCCACAAATCCTTGTGCAATCCATGGGAGCTGCAGGTGCTTAGCATCTCTGAAAATGAGGCAACATTTAGATGCCTAAATATAGAGCCACAAACCTAATATTAGGACTCAAGTTCTAAAACTTCCAGCAGAGTGCGCTGGTATCCCACCAACCCCCAAAAGAAATGATTGTTTAAAAAATAAGAGGGTGGTATATGCTTTTATATTTCATTTTATTTTCTCATTTGGTTCATTGGGCCCTCACTCTACCCCCCACTGTTGTGTAATGCCATTATCTGGTGCCGTGAACTAAACATGAACTAAAATGACTGACCTGCTTATATGGTTGCTAAAAAAAATCCCTTTCCCCACAGGTATGGACTCACTGTTGCATCTCGGTAGTACCTTGTCTCATAACTTACATTCCCTTTGAATGATCTGCTATAAGAGACCCTGTGTTAGAAATGGGTAGCAAACACAGTATAAGAATTTGTGAAATCCATTGGCTGGATCCTGCTCTGTTCTTCTCTTGTTTTATGTGTATTCCCTGGCAGGCAGAAGAATCCAAGAATTAAAGCTGCTTGAGATGCAGGTTTATTTGGGTTTTTCTGTTGTATTTTCTTTTCTTTTCTTTTTTTTTTTAACCTTTTCAATTTGGCGCCACTGGAAGCAATGCGTCAGAATGTTCTGTATCACTGTTCTGGGCTCGTCCCTGGCTAACATGTAAGTGGACTGATGCTTTCAAGCAGCACTCCCAGACTGACAAATTTGTACGGCTTCACCTTGGGTTACAACTTTTAATCTTGTGCCTAGCAATACAAACAATTCCCTGCCTTCCTCACAGGAAGCAATTGCATTTTAAATGCATGTAAACACGCTATCCAAGCCCAAGAATGTTGTTTTGAACTAATAAAATTCCATTCTCAGGCTGATTTCATTCCCTACACTTCTTTGACATGCAGAATGTTACTGTTTATTGCTAATTGGAATTAATACTTCAATAGTTGGCTACTACTATTTTTAGATAATGTTCTTTGAATCTTATTTCAACAGAGGTCTCAGTCTGCATTCTCACTGACTAGTGAAGATACACCAAGCAAAGATCTGGACCTAGCGTCATCTATGCCTGAGATTCTTTGGAGGCAGCAGAAAGGCCTAGTCAGGAGACAGAGGGAACACAAACTGTCTGCGTTACCTAGCTGGAAAAGTGTGGACAGACTGAATGAAACAAGTAAATATTTATAGTACCAGTATGACGCCTTCTTCTGTTTTTCCTGTTGAACAAATTAAACTTGAAGTACGCACCCAGTCCTGCTCCTATTGAAGTCAGTGGCAAAACTCCCATTGACTTCAATGAGAGGCAAGGTCAAGCGCTAAATGGAAAAAGAAAAAGCCTGCACTACCTTTGTGATGCCTCGTATGACAACAATAATCAAACAATGGCACTAATTATGGTACTACTAGTTTTCCCTGAATAAGGACTTCAGAATTTGGCCCTTGGTGCATAAAATAATAATAAAGTAATATCAAACAGCGAGCTAATGAAATATTCATTGCTGGGTTAACTTCTGCTCCAAATAACCTCTTGTCATTCATATAGAAAGTGTTATTCTTATGGGTAGGATTCCTGTCCAAGGCCTGGATTCAGCAAAGCATTTAAGCATGTGCTTAAATTTAAGCACCCACTGAAGTCCCACTGAAGTCAACTACACAGTCATTTAGTATTTAGCAATTACTTAACCATAGCTTAGGCCTTGGCTACACTCAGGACTTCCCAGCGCTGCCGCGGCAGCACTGTGAAGCGCGAGTGTAGTCGCGCCGCCAGCGCTGCGAGAGCTCTCTCACAGCACTGTAAGTACTCCACCTCTCCGAGGGGAATAGCTTGCAGCGCTGCGAGCGAGCGTGCAGCGCTGCAGGCTCTGATTACACACGTGCTTTACAGCGCTGTACTCGCTGCACTCGGGGGGGGCATTTTCACACCCCTGAGCGCAGTAAGTTGCAGCTCTGTACAGCGCCAGTGTAGCAAGTGACAAGTTGATACAATTACTTTCTAAGGGTCCCTTGCTCAGACTAGTTCCTGTTTGTCATCTGAGTTCACAGTTGAGATAAAACATGGGTGTCCTGTAGAGGCTATTTTATTTAATAGGTATCACATTAATTTGTGCAGTAAACCCGCCTGCCCTGGTTTGCAGCTTTTTGTTAAAACACACAAAATCCAAGAGGATCTCAACCAGTAGCTTAGTGTAGTAGTAATAAACACCAGTGGTCTGATTCCCCACTGCCATGCACCTCAATTCGTTATTTATACCTGTGAAAAGTGAGTGTAAATCTCAACCACTCTAAGGGCTTGTCTACACTGGCAATTTACAGCGCTGCAACTTTCTCGCTCAGGGGTGTGAAAAAACACCCCCCTGAGCGCAGCAAGTTTCAGTGCTGTAAAGCGCCAGTGTAAACAGTGCATCAGTGCTGGGAGCTACGCCTCTCGTGGAGGTGGGTTTTTTTAGCTCTCTCCCAGCGCTCTGCCGTGACTACACAAGCCATGTTAAAGCGCTGCCACGGCAGCACTTTAGCATTGCCAGTGTAGACTAGCCCTAAATTAGTAGTGTTTACATCTACTTTGCAACTGCTTTGTACAGATGTAAATGACTGCACACGGGCCAGGTGGCACAGAAACAGGCTCTGAATTTTCATTTACAGATGACCGGTTCCACACTGAGCTCATTTCTCTGGCCATTCTTATTTTTACACAAAGAATTCATAATGTAAGGCACCAGTGACATCACAATTTGTGCCTCATGTCTTTTGTTATGTCAGGCAAGTGCCTTTTAATTTATATCAAAGAGGTTTCTAATAAACAGTATTGACATCAGTAGCTGGAGGGATAAAGTCAATGTTACTCTTTGTAAGTAACTTCTCTGTATGTTGTTGCCTTCCCCCCTGCTAATCAGCTAACATACTTCACTTTTCTAATCAACTAAAATACATTTTAACAAATTCAGCTATGCCACAGGCAGCAGCTACTCAAAACAAATGACCATGAACTTTGTATGTGTTTTGGGCCAATGGGCAGAAGCACAACTAGTTTGAATTTAATTAGTTAAGCATTGAGTGTTGGGGTTCCCCCGAGACACATTCGGTTCAACATCAGTCTTGTCACTCAGGTTCCCTTATTTGGCAGACAGCAAAGCTGTACTGAGCTGATCAGACTATAGGACGTACCACACATTCAAAGTTACACAACAGACCTCTTCCTTTATATGCATTAACACAATATATTGCGTTTAGTATTCATTGCATCATGTTTTGCATCACATGGGATTGGCTTGGTCACTTTGTAGGAACCAATCCTTGTACAGCACACAGTCACTGAACAACTTACTCATTACCTCATTTTACTTTCCAGGCTTATCCATTGTTATCTTGTCCATTGTAAATGGTTTGTTGGTGTTCCCCCTTATCTTAGGTAGTACAGTCATTCTGTTTCTAGCCTGCTGATCCATTTACCTTCCTAATCCTGTCTTCCCAAGAAATGAGGCCTTACCCGTGTCCAATCACTCATGTCAAGCCAGGACTACATTCCACTGCTTTTATTTTTTCCTTTTTATATTAGCATTTGTTTTATTTGCATTATAGTTTTTATTTTCTGTTCTTTCTTTTTTTAAGTTTATTACCCAGCAACCCACTTTTAAGACAATAGTAACTGTAATTATTCGAATTACTATTAACGCAAGGCTTAAAGTATGAAGCAGGCTGTAGAAGCTCACCTCCTATGGTATAGCCCACTAGGGTGTGATTTTACATTGTAAGCTTAGTTTGTCTTTAAAGCCTATTTTTGTTTTCATTTTGCTTTTATTTTAATTGCATTATAAAAAAATTGGTACAAAATACAAACAAAATATTTATTACCACAGGAAATATAGTTGGCAAACAGATCAGAAGCTAATTAAAATAACATTCTCTGGTCCATACCAGAAGAGGTTCTTTTTAGCCACCACACAATACTTGTTATCAGCATAGACAGTTTTTACTTTACCAACATCCTAATGTCTCAACTGTACTGTGCAATTTGGAGACTGTTCCCCTAGCGTCAACCCACCTACCAGCAACTCTGTCTGCAAGATGTTACACCTGCATGTGTAAGTGTTCCTCAGGGGCAAACAGTAGTACAAGTCTGGGGCCTTCTAGACCTTGCATTGTCTTGCTACAGTATTTGAGGAGGGAAAACAAACTTCTTCCACACCATACGGATTGCACTGGTTTCACATTTAACTTTATGGTATTGGATCTTTGTTAACTTTCTCACCGTGCACCAACAGGTGTCACCCCTTTTGTAACAAATTTGTAATTTTTCTGTGACGATAAAAGAAGGCAAATGTTCTTGGTTCATATTAAGCCAGGTCTAAGCTAAACAGTCAAGCCTGTCAACAGATTTAGATCTTCAAAAATTGTTTGCAAGAAGCAGAATTACTTCCTGGGGCACTTACTCAATTTCTTTGAATTAACATAAAATTTGGGAGTGAAAACAGGCCAAAGAGATTTAAATAAATTAATAATTTAAAATAAGAAGCTTGGCAGATCTTATCAGTTTAATTACCATTTTGTTGGTGGAGTGTTCTGGGGTTTTTGTTTTGATTTTGTTTTTGTTTGTAGTTTTGTTTATGCTCCAGGGAAAAATTGTTCCAAAACTCAAAGCATGGCTACTATATGGCATATTTATTCCATAATTATGTTCTGTGTTGGGAAAATAAGAATGCCAAATAAAATTTGTGATCTTGAGTTCCATATATTTACAGACATAAATTGAAGGGAGAAAAATACATAAAGATACATAAAAATATCAATATTTTAAATGTAACTGTTCATGTAAAAAATATGGTTTAAAACTTTAGAACAGTAATGCTCTGCCTGTAGCTTGTATTTGTGGCCTTCTAATGGATAATCTGAACAGTCAATTGTGCCTCTGAAAGAAATCTGTATGGCAGACATAATTTGATTCAGTATGCTAAGAAGAGTATGCAAATCCACAATACTGTTTAGTTCTACAGTCATTATGAGAAATATGAATAATAAACCCATCAGATGTTCAAACTTCCCATTAAAAGACATTTCATGTCCTGTTGACAATGGAGTCTATATTTAGAAACAATGTAAGCTTTACAGTTTGAGTAGATAGGTAGTATTTCTTGCATATTTTTCTTTTCTGAATTTTAGGTTAGCCTGAAACACAGGCTGTATAGCCTAACCTTGGACCCTATTGTCACATATATTTTAAAAAGATGTCCCCACAGAATTCTGTGGTGACTTCTGATTAAAATGGGATAATTGGGAAGATCCCTGATTCAGGGTATGATAAAATCTATGTAGCGTACCACATATTCATTGGTTTCTGTCATTATCTTGTGCTGGTCCCATCATAAAGGGTATGTCTACACAGCAGAAGCTGTGCACAGACTAGCCTACTCAAGCTAGCTTGAACCTAGTTAGTGTGGGTAGCAATAGCAATAAAGACAACATGGTGCGTGCTTCAGCGTGGGTAGACAAGCCTGGCAAGGACCCTGGGTAAGTACTCAGCTCACTAGCCCATGCAGCTAGCCCTCCAATTTTGCTGTGTAGACATACCCAAAATGGCTAGTCGTTGCTAAAATCCTTATTTGACTGTGCAAAAGTCAGCCTGTCAAACTGAAATAATAAAGTAATAATTAGGGGATTTGTTCTTGTTTTAATTTCACAGGTCCACCTCCTGTTTTACAAAGCACTGATGGGAACTGGGTGGCTTTGCAGAGCATTACGTTGCCTCGCCCTAGAATGCTTGCCAAACCAAAGAGCCAAGTATTCAAAGCTTTGGAGAATGAATCTAGTGTTGTGTCTGCTTATGACGAGATGGGCTCGGATAGCGAGGACGACTACGACTGGAATGTGGCCTTGAACAAGCTGCGTCGGAGGCCCAAGCAGTTGTCCGAGGATTCTTATTATACCGATTCCCAGTACAATACTGAATGGGCTTATGGCAGTGATCCGTACCAGCCAGTGACCTCACCTTCATCTGGGCTATACACCAATACAGAGACGGTGTACTCTGATTCTGAAACATCTTCAGTAAATTCCTCAAGAGAGGCTAGAGAATCTAGCAAACTTCCCTGGCTACAAAGGAGAACTCAGAGTGACAAACCCAGAGTGGAAAAAGCACATTTACATGGAGAACTGGATGTAAATTTCAATCCACAGGCTGACAGTTTAGAGTATTCAGATAGCAGTGAGACTGAGGAAGTCCATTATGATTTAGAAAAGAGGTCTAGAAGGTGGAGAAAGAGCAAAATTGTCTCAGAAGAATTAAGTGAAGGAAAAAATCACACAAAAACCCACAAGAAGAATTTGAGCACAAATCAGGTAACTACATTTGCTTATATAGGAAGGATTGAGTAAGCAAAAGTGGGCAGGGGGAGTGGCACACTTTGTCAAAAATGGCATTACCTGTTTCTGAGTCCCTCAGAAGATGATCTTGAATGTCCTAAGAAGTAAAGCACAAAATGAGGTCTTGAATATATGTGCTACAGGCCACCAAATCACACTAGGGAGCAGGATGACCTGCTCCTTAAGTACCTATCTGTAATCTGTAGGGAAAAAATTTGTGTGGTCATGGGGGACTTCAATTTGAGGGACATATGCTGGAGGTCTCAGGCTGCCAGTACTAAAACATCCTTGGAATTTCAAAATATCATAGATGACAACTTCCTGATTCAACTTGACTCAAGTGTTGCAACCATCACAGGGTAATTCTGTATTAGGACCTCATCTTGACAGATAAAGAAGAACTGATCACAGAACTAAAAATTAAAAATAGTTTACGTACAAGTGATCATGACTTAATCCATTTATAATATGCAAACAGAATAAAGTCCAAACCAGCAATATATATGCTTGGTGCTTTAAAAGGGCCAATTTCACAAAGCTGAAAATAGTTATGAGTCAAATTAGCTGGGAGGAAGAATTTTATCAGAAAAATATGAATTATAATTGGTAATTGTTTAAGAACATTTTATTAGATGCCCAAAAAAACACAATTGAGGAAGAACACCATATTGGTTTTAAAACTGATCTCGCTTAGAGGGGAAGCGAAGGCAGCTATAAAAAAAATAAAATACAATTTAACAAATGGAAGAAAGGGGAAGTTGATAGTGATGAATATAAATAAGAAGCTAGCAATTGTAGAAAATTGATAAGAAAAGCAAAGGGACACAAGGAGAAATTTATGGCCAGCAGAGATAAGGACAATACGAAGGAGTTTTTTAAGTATATTGGAACAGAGAGAATCCGGACAATAGTATTGGTTCATTACTAGATGGAAATGGTACAATTATCAGTGATAAGGCAGAAAAGGCAGAAGTGTTCAATAAATGTTTCTGTTCTGTATTCGGGAAAAAACATGATGCAGTCTCATCATATGACAATGATAACACTCTTTTCATTCCACTAATATCTCAGGAGGATGTTAAACAGTATCTACTAAAGTTAGATGTAGTTAAATCAGTAGGTCTGGATAACTTGCATCCAATAGTTTTAAAAGAGCTGGCTGAGGAGCTCAGTGGACAGTTACTGTTGTTTTTCAATAAGTCTTAGAACATCAGGGAAGTTTCAGCAGACTTGAAGAAAGCTAATGTTGTGCCAGTATTTAAAAAGGGTAAATGGGACAACCCAGGTAATTAGAGGACTGTGTATCTGATGTAAGTCCTGGGCAAAATAATGGAGCAGCTGATACGGGACTCAATTAATAAAGAATTAATGCCAGTCAACATTAGTTTATGGAAAATCTATCCTGTCAAACTAACTTGGTATCTTTTTATGATATTATAAGTTTGGTTGATAAAGATAATAGTGTTGATGTAATATACTTAGATTTCTGTAAAACATTTGGCTTAATGCTACAATAACTTTTCCATTAAAAATTAAAACAATATATAGTTAACATGGCAAACATTAAATAGATTAAAAGCTAGCTAACTGATAGGTCTCAAAATGTAATTGTAATGGGGAACCATCACTGAGCGGGTGTGTTTCTAGCGGGGTCCTGCAAGCAGCATGTTAAGCCGCAGCGGTGTGCAACTCCTGTCCGGGAGCATGTGAGCTGCTTGCACACGCTAGCGTGACTAGGGACAGCTGCCAGTGAGCCTGGTGTCCGCCCCAGTAGGCGGGGCTGGAGGCGGCACAGCTAGGCTGCAGGAGCTGCCAGGGCTGGGGGCTGGCTCTTGTGTGCGGCGGCCCGACATGCTGCTGCTTTCGCTGCTGCGGTTCTTGGACCTGTCGCTGGCCATGGTCCTGCTGGTCTCGCTCGTTGTTGCCCTGCAGCTCCGTGGATATCCACACTGTAGCCACGGATATCCGCATCCGGGGATATAAATTGTGTATCCATGCAGGGCTCTACAAAGAGAAGGTTAAGGGGTGACTTGATTACAGTCTATAAGTATCTACGTGGGGAACAAATATTTGCTAATGGACTCTTCAGTCTAGCAGAGAACAGTATAATATGACCCAAGGGCTGGAATTTGAAGATAGACAAATTTAGACCGGAAACAAGGCGTACATTTTTAACAGTGAGGGTAATTAACCATTGGAACAATTTACCAGGGGTCCTGGTGAATTCACCATCACTGGCAATTTTTAAATCAAGATTGGATTTTTTTTTAAATCTCTGCTCTAGGAATTATTTTGGGAAAGTTCTGTGGCCTGTGTTATACAGGAGTCAGACTACATTATCACGATGGTCCCTTTTGGCCTTAGAATCTGTGAACACTGTACAGTACTAGAAGGCACTTTACAAAATCAGCTCAGACTTACTCACTGACAGCAATGCACTGATCATATCCAGGAGAGAAAGCACACTCAAGTTTTTTATCCCTCAGGTGTATCAGAATTGAGTAGAAGGCAATGTGATGCATAAACTGTTATTGGTCTTTCCTGTATATTCATCACTTTGTTCCCTATCACTTCCAGGCGATACAGTGGCATTAGTAGTACAGTACAATACAGAGATTGCTATTAAAAAAATTAGAATTTCCCAACATTTAGCATACAGTGGTATATGGGTAGCTACATTTTTCACTCTTCTTGGAATGGGAAACAAGTGAGCTATCTATTGTGGGGTAACTGCTGGCAAACATCCTTTTAATGGAGAACACTGGTGTGGATTGCTATGAACAGGAATGTAAAAGCTATGGGCTGTTACTGAATTATAATCCACGTAATGGCTGTTTTTAATTTCCCACTGTATTGTATTTAGGCATTGTGCATGTGGATATCTCTCTACATGCTGCTTTTATAAGGATGTTGTCATTCATAACAAAAAGAGAGAAAATTGTAAACTGTCAGAATGTAATGACTCGGGTTCAGAAATAATTAGCACATTTGCAGAGAGCAAAGTCTTTCCTCAAAGGACAGTTTTTATAACAAGGAAGTAAAATAATGTAATCTAAGCAGAAAGTAAGCAGGAAATCACACCAGTCATGTGACTGGAGTCCTGTATGGGGCCTGATTGTCCCAAAGGCAGTCTCCCAAGTAGTCACTCTTACACCTGAGTAAGACAAGGGGCAAGCAGAGCTGGCTTCAACCCCATTATTTATTAGGGACCAGGTAGTTCCCCTGCATCCTGTCTCAGGTATTTAAGAGAAATTAACATATAAATTCCCTGGTTAGGTCATCTTCTAAAGTAGCAGGATGGTGTGACTGAATCAAGGAAGTGAACCATTTCTTCTCCCCTATCTCTCTCTCCATAAGGCGGTTAGCAATCGGCTCCGCTCTTCCGACTCTCCCGAGCAATCGTTCTGTTTCTGCAGGTGTTATTTGGTTGGAGTGGTTACACCTCTAGCCCTTATCTGTGATAGAAGGCCTGCTGCTCCACTAGTCACAACACTAGTGCCGATACAGTTGCACCGAGGTGAGCTGGGGCGGGGAGTTCCCCTGCGTGCCACCCCACCCCCATTACTTGCTGCAGGCGGCCCTCCCCGCGCCCCCCTACCCCAGCTCCCTCCGCCTAAATGCCGACGATGACCGGGGCGGCCGAAGATCTGGCCGCCGCGGTCGCCGCCGAAGAAAATGCCGCCCCCCCAAATCCTAGTGCCCTAGGCAAGCGCCTAGGTTGCCTAATAAGTTGCACCGGCCCTGACTGCAAGTGTAAACGGGGATTGCTGTGGTGAACGAGGAGGTCACGTTTTGGGGGGGGGGGGCCAGGACTGGGGCGGCAGGGGGTGGGGGAGGGCCCTGGGGGCGGGGGGGAGCCCAGGGGTGTGGGGCAGCCAAAAAATTTTTTGCTTGAGGCGGCAAAAAACCTAGAGCCGGCCCTGATGGTAGGCTAGTATCTCTACAGAGCAGACTTAAGATAATTTGGCTGTCTTGGTTGGGAAGTACAACCCTTATCTCTGTGTTCTAATTCTATTTTTAACTAATAGCCTTGAAAAATTATATACACTCAAACCACTTATATGAATCTTCAACCTTAACTTCACTTTATATTTTGAGGGGAATAATAATGGTGTTTAATTCCATTGGGATCATTGTATGATGAAAACTACAGTACCTTGATTGCTTTAGATTAATTTGACCTAATTTCATTATGAAGTCAGCTATTGCTCTTATAAAATGGCATTATCCATTAATTAAAATCTTGTCATATAGTTCTATGCTCTCTTGACAAAGCTATAAATGAAGGCGGGATACAGTGTGTGCTCTGAATTTCAAGCCCCACTAGATGGCGCTTGTGATTCATTTATTGGAAATATGGGACTTCTAAGTGCAAACAAACATTGAAAAGTAACCCGTAAAGTGAACATTTTATACAATGTCTTTGCCCTCATTTAGAGGGTAGGCCCTCATTTTCCATGTGACTTTCAGTGCAGTTACTGATTATAGCAACGCCCATTTTTTGTGGTATTTTTCTTAATTAGTTACAGTATAATGTGGGTTTACTTTTGCTATTTGAAATTGGTTTGTCTTGGAAGGATTTAATTTGAATGTTTTTAGTTTTGTTTTAGCACTACTGAGTTCACTTTTTTTCTTTTTTGTGCATATTTTGTTTTGATTACACTGACTTGATGATGATTTTACATGCAATTATTTGCAGAATATCTTGTGGGAAAGGTACACTTAATTTTCTTAAAACATTTATAGTTTAGAAGCTGTGGGCCAAGTCCTACTCTCAGTTACACAAGTGTAACAAAGCAAAATGTGGCCCTTAGTACTTGGCTCTGCAAATAGGTATATCTGTTGCTGATACATGCCAGTGTGAATTTATACATTGACTTTAAAGATGGGACATTAGATGGTATAAAACTAGGCTAGATTATGTGAACTGTAAACTACCACTGCAGAACTCTGAAGAAAACTTTTCACACAAGAGAAGAAAGTACATTTTTGGTTGGTTTGTTGTTAAGGTTGACAAGGCCCTCAAAGTGACCTGCCCTAAAAATACAGTTGATTAAAAAAATACAGAAAAATGCATCATGTCATCACAAAACTTTCACTGTAACTGTGTTAAAAGCTCAGTGTTTCAGCCAAGAAGCCTACGAACAACACAATGACCACAGTGTACAACATTGGACATAATTCTCCCTGCATTGCCACAAATATAAATATTCAGGCTACTCACAAGAAAGCAGCAGGCTGGGCGGGGGAAGGATGGCACAGCATAGGGTTGCCAACCCTCCAGGATTGGCCTGGAGTCTCCATGAATTAAAGATGAATCTTTAATTAAAGATTATGTGATGTGATTAAATCTCCAGGAATATGTCCAACCAAAATTGGCAACCGTACACAGCAAGCATAGCTGCGTCCATGATCTCAACAAACTCAATCCTCTGAGGTTGTGTCTTCACTGGGAGGGGGAGGTGTCCTTAAGTGAAATCAGCTAACAGGAGGTGAATTCTAGTGAAAACAAGTTTTTAGCTTTTACACTATGTAACAGGTCAAGTTAAAGACTAGGCTTCCCTGTAGACTTTAACTTTGTCTGCTTCCTTGTGTGACAACTACAAACTACCTCGACTTTAACCTCAAGTTAGACAGCTCAACTTACACACACCCTTTTATCTCCCTAATGAAGACAATACCCCTGTGGGCTAGTTGGTTGAATTGCTCTGCTAGGCCCTGATGCAATGCACATGGGAGTCACTAGAAAGACTCTCCCTAATTTCAATGGACTTTGGATCAGGTCCTTAGAGAGCAAGTGTTTTAAGTGCTGCAGTTCTTGGTTTGAAAGGCTGGTGTAGTATTTTCAGTATCAAGAGGACATCTGGTCCAGTCAACCTCAATATGGATTCTTTAAACTAATTTGTGAATTTGGTGCCCCTGAATATTAGGATTTAATAGCACTGGCTTGTGCCGGGATAGTATAAATAAGGCTACGATTTAGTCACAGATATTTTTAGTAAAAGTCATGGACAGGTCACGGACAATAAACAAAAATTCACGCCCGTGACCTGTCCATGATTTGTCCTATAAATACCCCTGACTAAATCTTAGGTGCTCTGGGGGGCTCCAGGGTGCTGCAGGTGTTGGGGAGGGTGCGCTCCAGCAGACGATGCTGCTGCACTGGGGGTGGGGAGACTCCGGCACGCCACCACTGCTGCTGGGGGGTGGTGCCCCGGTGCGCCAGCACTGCTGCTTCGAGGGAGGGCAGCCTGGAGCCCCAGCGCCGCTGCTGCTCGGGGTGGGGGACGGCCCAGGGTGCTGCTGTTGGGGGGGGGTGACCCAGGCCCCCGTCGCTGCTGCTTGGGGGCGGGGGACAGTCCGGGGCCCCGCCACTACTCCGGGGCAGCGACCGGGACCAGCTGCCTGGGTCCTCCCAAGCAGCAGCCAGTGCAGCTGGCTCTGGGGGCACCCCAGCTACTCGGGCAGCCCTCGGGTCACCTGCACCATCCGCTGCAGAAGTCATGGCGGTCCCGGAAACGCACAGAATACGTGACTTCTGTGACCTCAATGAAAGACTCGCAGTCTTAAGTTAAGTCTTACGTCTAAGATTCTTCCCTCAGACCTGCTTTGCTACTGTACCTCAGTCCTAACAGGCAATACCTTCTGAAATTTCAGCCTTGGCCTTTCTTGATTAGATTGTGGAGAATCATGTGATGGCTTTGAATACAAAATTGTCCAGTCTCTATTACTGTACATGGAGACCACCGATGTCTCACTTGAGCTCTTAACCAGTGTTTGAAAACAGATCTGCGTATCTGAAATATTAGTGCAATGATTCACCACACTGCCTAGCCCCAAATTAATTATATCTGTCACTATTCCGAGCTTCAAATTCAGGGATTCAGCAACAAACTCTGATAGTCGAGACAATATGAGTCCATGCCTTCCATTGCAAATCTATTGACAGACATGCAAAATATTTCTGCACAATTTCTGTATCTTTCACCATTCCTGTTGACATTTTCCTAAGAGGTGCCGTTAGAGCAAGTGCTGGGTAAGTCTTCGGAGCAGGGAGAGGAGAAGGCATTTGAATTAAAGGGTTGGAAGGAGATCAGTCTTTTAAACATACTGAAAGTTCTATTGTAACATTGTAAAAATAGAGTGGAAACATTTCCATTTGAGACTCTGTTCTTCAGGTGCAACCCCATCTTGTTCAGAACAATTTGGAAGCTCAAGTGATGAGAAAACTATTCACTGTGCAAAAACTGGTGCTTTGGTGGAAAAATTAATCCATTAATCCAGTAAATCCATTAAATCCAGATGGAGTCCCCTTCCATTGTGGCAGCCATTTTTGCAGCAACAGTGATCCTAATTTTCAGAAACAACCTCCAGATTTGTGGGTGCAAATTATAACATTTAAATGTCCAGCTACCTGATTTGCATTATTAGTTAGAGAGCTGCATGATCTCATTTGTGCTCACAAATAATGGCAGATACAAAATTGTGAAAGGGCTCCACAGAAAGGTAAGATTTCCATCATGAGTGACAAAGCATAACTGGTCAAGTTATGAGGGAAATGTCAAAATTACCATAGTTTTTAGATTTCCAAGCGGTAGATACATCCAGGGAATACTGCATTTGGGAATGCAAACAAACTAGCCTCACAAAACAAATCTACTGTTCTGTTTCTTGGAAGCGAAGAATCCAGATTGTTAATCTCCCTGGCATTCTCCAGTCCTGTCAGTGGGAGAGCACCAGGTAAATAAGATTGCCTAGCTTGTTTTTCTTAGTGTCATAATCCATATTATTTCCTCTCTTAGAGTTGCCATCAATCATCTATTTAGGCCAAGTGCTGTGCAGTGGCTGTTTGTGGATTAGAATCTGCATTCTTTGTATCCTCTCTCCCCAGACATTTAGATCATGACTGTGTTCTTTTTCAAAGAATTCCTGACACTTAGACTACATCTACACTTTGAGCTAGGGGTGTGATTCCCAGCTCAAGAAGACATACTTGGGCTAGCTCTGATAGAACTATTGCGCTAAAAATAGAACGTACTCATGGCATCACAAACCATAGGAGGGGCTAGCAACTGGAGTATGTTGGACGGGTACATACTTGAGGCAGCTAGCCCATTCACCACTATTTTTAGTGCACTAGCTGGATGACAGCTAGCACAAGAATGTCTCCTCACATTGGGAATCACACCCGAGCTCGAAGTGTAGATGGATCCTTAGTACTGGGGAATTGTGATCTGATATTTCTTCTTATCCCTACTGGAAGAGATGAAAAGTTCCATTTTTTAATGATAGCTTTCAGTGCTCAGAAGTGTCTCCATTTTGTAAAATGTGGGGCAGACATCCTAGCAAAAGTACTTATAACTACATAAGAGGATTTCTCCTTTTTCCATTTTGTCTCCAGACTGAAGGCCTTATCCTAACAGGTGCTAAGCACCAAGACTGCCATTGTAGCTAACTGGAACTATGAGTGCTCTGCACCTTTCAGCATCAAATGCTAAGAAAACATTGTGCATCTAAAGGTTGAACTTGTTTCCAGTAATTCTTAAGGAAGCAGTGTAGACCCATGGGTAGTACACCAGGCTGGGAGTCAGAGGACCTGGCTAGGAGACAGGACTTGAAGTCAGCCACTGAACATGTGACCTTGTGCAAGCCACTTCACCTCTCTGTCTTAGTTTCCTCATCTGTAAAATGACTCTGAGGATGATGATGTAGGGTTTCCTTTGTACAGTGTTTTGGTGAAGAGTGCTATAATATGAGAGTGTTTTATTATTTGCACAGAGGGAGCTAATTATTTATGGACCTGATGCTTTATTTCATGTAATATGGAAAAGAGCAGAAAAGAGAAATATTATTGTCTTCTGAAAGTAAATATGCTGGGCATAGTCTACACAGAAGTAAAAATCTATCTGCCTAGAGATTCCTACTGTGGTATTTTTCTAGATTTCCTGCAGAGTAAAGTGTATTTGTATGTATTGTGAACTTAAATGTAGCCTTTGTAGAAACCCTGTTGATTTTCTTTTCTTGCACTTTATTTGAATTTTTTGCTATTTTGATTTTCATCGTAGGTTTCTGAGGATTTATCAGAAGCTGATATAAGCAGTGAGGATCAACACCATAAAATCAAGACAGACCTTGTTGAGGAAAAGCTTAAATCCGAGTTATTTGAACTAGCTGCTAAAATGAGTGACAAGGAAACCTCTTCTGGTGAAGAGCAGGAGTCAGAGCCTAGAACAGAATCGGAGACCCAGAAGGAAAGTTTGTCCTCAGAAGAAAATGGCAAAAACATTCAGGAAGAGTTGAAGAAGGTAAGTGAAAGGAGAAGAGGGATAATAGCTTAGAAACTAGAATCCTTAAAGAGGAGGTTGGAAAGTTACCCTGTTTATAGTGGAACAAGGGATAGAGTATATAATGTTCACTGGGAACGGCAAAGAGTTTAAACGCAGTCACTTGATAAAAGTGAAACCCAGTCCTACAATCCTTGTGCAGTCAAAGCTCCCATTTCCATGAATGAGAGTTTTGCTTATGGAAAGCCTGCAAGATCAGGCCAAATGCAATTAATTTATGTTTGGTCCGATTCTCAGTTCATGTAAATCAGTGTAGTTCCATTGACTTTAATGCAATTACACCGATGTACCCCAGCAGAGGATCTAACCCTTCGCTTTTACCTAAACACATATCGGCATCTATTTTTTCACCTCTGCTCATTAAGTGGTCAATGAAAACCTTTTCAGCCTTTACCTGCTCTCCTTTACGCAGTATCATTTAATTGACGCTGATGCATTAGAGTCTCCTGTTGCCTCTCTATCTGGGTAGTTTGTGTGTCTCTCTAATGCTTTCCAGACCTGTTGTCATGTCTACTGATTCTGTTTTCTATCTGATAATAAGATCCCATATATATCAAAATGTTATACAGATTCTGAAATGCAGAGTCTCTCCTGACAGAATGTGTTTGATCCATTGTTTGTATGAAGTGTGCCGAAATCCAGAACCTAGAAGGGTATTTACCACCTGCTTTTTTGTCTGTCTTTATTTGAATGTCTTTTCATGTGGTATTATACCCATGCACCTGAATACACCAGTGCTCTCTTCACCTTTTAATGTACTTCCCTCTATATTGATTAAATCCAGCTTTTCAAATGTATACGCTGGGCTCCTGAAGCCTGAGTTCCTCATGAAATGTGTGTGTGGTTTAGCTGATGACCAAGATGATTGTATGAGAGTGACACTTCCCGGATTAGTGAGGCACCTCACTACCACTTGCCCTCAGTGTGAGGAAGCCTTGTCGGTTCTTGCTGGAGGTCAGCTCTCCAACCCCACCAGCCACTGTTATGCAGATAAAACTACACAGGATCGTTTCGGGGGACAAGGCAAGATGTCACATTTATTATAACAACAATTTGATCTATAACCAATAGCTAATACCTACACACACACACGCACCAGATGTTCTGCAGCTGCTGGATAGTTACCAGTCCTGAACGTAGCTTGAGTCCGTGGCTTAATTTCGCAGCTTGGGTTCGTAGCTCGTGGCAGCTAACTGGCCAGGAAAGCCGGGCACAAGGAAGAGCTGAGTCTCTGTCGGGCATGCACCGATGCCCTTCAGTGTTGGCAGCAGAACGTTACCCAAAGTCTTCCATCTCACCCATCTTTTAAATAGGCTTTTAGTTTGAATTAAGAGTCTATAGGTCTTGCTGTGTCATGCTGTCTCTGGGTTCGGAGTGATTGATCACCCGTCAATTGCAGATGTGACTTTCAGCCTCGGACCTGACTTTGATCTTGCTTTAATTGTACCTTTGTTCTTTTCTTTTAGGGTGGACTCTTCTTACTTTGTCAGGGCCGTTGTCTGCATCTTCAGCCATTGGTGTTTGCACTTAACTTTATCAGGACAGGCTGGGGCTGGAGGTTGATTCCATTATTCATGCATACCTCATTCACATATCTAAACTAAACTAATAAGGTTACAGCAGGCTTTTGCAAAATGAAGGTTACAGCAGGGTTTTACAAAATGGAGTGAGCATTTCAAAATGGAGTTTGAGTTACAATATGGAGCCTTATTAAAACAAGGGTAATGAACAATTTACAATGTTGAAAGGCAAACAGTAAACAGGAGTTACAATGTTAAAACAGTAATAACCAAAAGAAACAATTTCATTCTTCAGCTCTACACCACGGGCAACAAAAACACTCCCCTGCTCTCTCTCTCTCTACTCCAGATTAGTGATAGGCACACTCCAGTCTTTGAGCCCTCTGAACAATCCCTCTAAAGTAACCAGCTCCTGATCCACTAGACACAGAATTCACAGATCTGCTGCTCCCAAAGAAGAAGTATACATCATCTTACCAGTTTCCCTTCAGATCACTGTTCCATTTAACACACAGGATTTATGTACTTGAAAACAAGTAAAAGTTTATTTAAAGAAGTATAGAGATTTGAGCAGTAGAAATAGCAAGTCAAAGTATTGGAAACAAATGGTTACATGTAAAATAAAATCATAACGTCTTCTAGAGCTTAGACTTACTTAATAAGATACTGTCTTGTACAATGAAATTTAGGTCACCCAACCTCTTTGCAGCGATTTCCAGCCAGGGTGGCTGTGATCCTCCTTTCATAATACAGAACGCACTGACAGTTTGGGCTGGTCTACACTGGGGGGAGGAGGAATCGATCGAAGGTACGCAACTTCAGCTACGCTATTCGCGTAGCTGAAGTCGAAGTATCTTAGTTCGACTTACCTGGCCGTCCTCATGGCGGCAAGTCGACCGCCGCAGCTTCCCCGTCGACTCCGCTTATTCCTCCTGCTGAGGTGGAGTACGGGCGTCAATTCGGAGATCGATTTATCGCGTCTAGACGAGACACGATAAATCGATCCCCGATAGATCGATTACTACCCACTGATCTTTGTCTCCTCAGTGAAACATAGATCCCCAGTGTACCTCAGTACATCTAGTTATACCACAAAAATCCATTGTCTTTACTGGGAAAATGACACTCCTGCCCTGCTGTTTATGTTTATTCCTGCAAATCTTTTCTTATGTGAATTCACAATTTCTTCATTTTGGCTCAGTAATGCAATGGACTTAAATTTGGAGAGACAGATTACACAATGACCAGCCAGGGAGAAGCACAATGACCAGCCTGAACTGGGGTGTTACCTTCTGGTGACCTGTCTTACCTTACAAACTTTAAGGACATAGTTCTCAGTATAGATATCTAATTCCTTAAATATCCATCTATCCATCCATTGCAATGATTATGATGATCAGTAAGGTACTGGCTCTCACTAGATTCCATGCCACTCTTTGGCAAACTGTTGCATGGATAGCTGACGTAGAGATCTCTGTAAAGCCCTATGTACTCCTTATGCCTGGTGCCAGTTGGCATCAAGAGGTCCCTGGGTTACAGTGTGTGAGCAACATACTTAAGCTACAGTACCTTACAGCAAAAGTCAAGTGACAAAAAATGCTGATAGTCTAGGATAAGTTTGTAATGCCACTCAAATGATGCAGTGTTAGCCCCACACCTGAGGCTTCTGTTTCCCATGAAAATCACCCAGCTCCTTCCTGCTCAGGGTCTGACAGTTCAAAACGAGTGACGATTCCACCTATATCTTTCATTTATTAGGAACTGTGTGTTCTGTGATTCACAGCCCTTTACTTTATGGATTTTGAGAAGGAACTGAAGTTGTTTTAGCAACGTGGGCATCATATAGTGAGGAAGGGGAACTAATGATTTGTAGTCTAAGCTTTTTTTTAAAATTGGCTGTAGTTAACATAGTTACATTGCAAAAAGCAATTTTGTGACAATGAGAACCTTGAAATTAGTCTTTGCTATTTGTGATCGAGACCTTACCTCTGTAGTTTTGGGGGTGTACTTTTCTTCTGTGAATAAGTTTATAGACCTCTAAAGCCACAGGAATGCCTGAGTTTTCCCTCTAACTTTAACCCCGAATAGATACTGGATTATTCATTATTTTTATTTTAGCATTTTAAATTAAATTGTTTAAAAAAACTCCAAAGAATTTTATGCTTTTCTGTAATATTATCTTATCAGGAAGAAAGAAACTTTAAAAATGTATAAAAAGTGAATGTCCAGCATCCCTGGCTAAGTGTTTTTAAAAGAAAGTAAGGTCCTCCAGAGTTAGTCATCCAAGCCTGTTGTATATGTTTGTTTGTCTGTAATAAAGAAGTCAAGACTTTCCAACACTATTCACAGTCATGGCCTCAGAGGAATTTATAGCGGAACTTGCTGAAGCCTCACTATATAGAAAAATGTGAGCTGACTTCATTCCTATTCTTGGCGAGTATTTCATAGATGTTGTTTAATCTCTCTTTCAACTGGCTATCTACTTGTTGCAATGAAATACCGAAACTGAGAAGATCAGATACAAATTCAGGGCCTCAGCAACCCAAAGATGAAAAGTAATCTAAATTCATATAGCATATGTGATAGATAAATTATATAACTGATACTTTAGTCAGGGCCGGTGCAAGGAAGTTTCGCGCCCTAGGCGAAACTTCCACCTTTCCCCCTCCCCCCCCCCCCCCCGCCCACCCACCCCCCCCCCCCCCGTGGCAGCTAACCACGCCCACCCGCCCCCTCCCACCCGAGGAGCCCCCCCCCATGGCAGCTAACCCCACCCGCCACGGCAGCTAACCGCCCCCCTCACCCAGGGAGCCCCCCCCTCACAACAGCTACCCCCCCTTGCAAGCCTCCCCTCCACGGCAGCTAACCCGGCCCGGGGACACACCCCCGCCGTGGAAGCTAACACCGCCCCCCTCCACGGTAGCTAACCCTGCCCGGGGAGCCCCTTCCCCCCCTCGGAAGCTAACCCCACCCCCCTCCACTGCAGCTAACCCCACCCGGGGAGATCCCCCCACAGAAGCTAACCCCGTCCCCCCCCCGCGGCAGCTAACCCCGCCCGAGGAGCCCGCCCCAGCTCTCCTCTGCTGAGCACGCTGGCGCTGCTCTAATTCTCCTCCCTGCCCAGGCTTGCGGCGCCGATTGGAGGAGACTTAGAGCGGGGGCTGTGTGCTCAGCAGAGGAGGTAGAGTGGAGGTGATCTGGGGCGAGGTGCGGTTCCCCTGTGCGCCCCCCCTGTTACTGCGGGCGGCTCTCCCCGCGTCCCCCTCCCTCCCCCCGCCCCAGCTCACCTCCACTCCACCTCCTCGCCTGAGCGGGCTTTTAGGCGCCCTCAACCACTAGGCGCTCTAGGCATCCGCCTAGTTTGCCTAAGTGGTTGCACCAGCCCTGACCTTAGTAGATGAAGATCCCCAATGGGAATAAACACAAAAAACAGAAATTTTG